GTCTGAAGATAGAAAATAAAGCGTGTCCTAAAAAAACTCACTAAAAATCGAATATATATGTCTAAAACACGTTTTAAGTCGAAACTGAGCAAAATTAGAAAATCTGATTTTTTTTCTCTTTTGGGCTGGTTAAGGATCAGGATCGACCGATCCACATGTGGATCGATCGATCCGGTCGTCAGAAACACAGCCTTCGGTCGATCCTGAGGTCGATCATGGGGTCAATTTCAGCATTTTTGTTCCTTTTGTTCCTTTCTTTGTTCCATCTTGCCTTAGACTCGTTCCAAACGTATTTCAACCTGCAAAGACTCTAAAAACAAAAAAAAATACTTGATAAAACCCTAAAAACACGGGTTAGAATGCGTTAAAAACGCAACACATCACTATGACACCCGATCTCTGGTCACTTTGAACCCTAGGTCTCGTGCCCTAACTTACTCAACAAGCAATATACCTGCACAAACTAAAAAGGAAAAAGAAGGGTGAGCAATTCCGGGAAAAAATTACTCAGTGAGAAAGTTACCCACAACAACTCTAATACTTGAAAACAGTAAGCAATCAAACATATTAACCCATAAATAAAACGTTCATCACCCAACTTATTACTAACAACATAACATTCATACATAATATTTCCACACCATAATCTCTTTTACTTATACATTATCTCATACTTAAACATTTCACATTTCACATTCTTTACTTTTCACATTCTTTTTAGTTTCTTTCCTTTTCACACTCTTTACTTTATTTACTTATCCTAAATTCACGGCGGAGCCAACCCCTTTCTCGCGTTTTGGGTTTGTCCTCTCCGTCATGGCCCTCTAAGGCCTAGACTACAACGGGTTTACATACGCGATCGTCCGCAGAACAATATATCCTATCTACAATCTCAAACAATTCATTTTAAATCTTTAACATTCTTTCTCTACCTAGCACCAGACAACTATATCAAATAGTCTCCACACATCAAACAATATTACAAACTACCATATAGCAACCAGCAACATCAAGCATCCCTAGATTTAGCATATATAACCAACAACATCACATTTCATCCCTAGACTAACATGTAAGAACATCTACTGTTAACTAGTATTAAAGTAATCTAGACAACACCCTCACCTTAGCTTTATAGATTGGATAGATTGACACGGAAGAATGAACATAGAAGGATGAGCTACTGCGAATCTGCGATTAGGAACCCATGTTTAACATTCCATTATTAAACTTCCTAAAATATTTATTCAGTTCGGCCAAATTATACCAGTCAGAAGAAAACAGCTATAACTTCTTACTCGTACCTCAAATCAAGACAAACTTGGTGCCTCTAGAAAGTCATGACTTGGAGCTTTCCAATGATATCCAGATCGTCTTCTGGTTCTTTCAGAATGACAGGAAATCAGCTCACAAATTCACTAATCGGATATGAAAATAAGAATTCCAGTTTCAGAAACAGTAATGTTTCTCAATATGGAAATACGAATTACGAACAGATCATACCTCGTAATTTAGAACCAAAAGCTTCTACAAAAACTAGAATCCGTGATCTTTCTAACGACGCCCATATCAACATCTAGTTCTTCTAGACTTGACCGAAAAACGTATGCGAAGTCGGCTGGTCGCATACTCACTCTGTACAGATCAGTCCAAGTAAAACATCCATAATATTCATTCCATAACACCGAATGACAAACTTATTTCAAATATTACTAGATCAGAGAGTTAAGAATCTGTTTACCAAATATAAGCTTCAACCGATCATTGATGAAACTGCAGCGTAAATTCTCCTCTGACTGGTTGGAAACTCTCACAGCAAATAATAAATACGAGAAAACATCCATAACTTTCATATCACAACTTCAAATGACAAACCGCTTTCTGCCTTGGGTAAATAAGAGAGTCAGGAAAGTCCTTACCAATATTCATATCGATATGAATAGTTTTGATCCTTGGTTTCTATTCTCCACCGAAACTGGTCAAATCTGTGGTTGTTCGAGAATAAGACATATCGCGACAGTTGGAAAGAACATGCCATAACTTTCACCACAGAACTTGGATCGAGACGTTATTGGATTTTCTGGAAAACTGAGACTCGGACCTTTCCACAGATATGTATATCATCGCACAGTTCGTGACGGTTCATCGGAAAATCGTCTCTCAACCCGGCGGTGCAGTTCAGTTCCAAGGGCAGCTAGGGTTTACGAGGTGAAAAGTAAAACGGCCAGGGTTTCGCCGCAGCTGCATTCTTGGTCTTTAAGTCTCACATCCTCTCCCTTTATATAGTGGATGATTAGGGTTTTCGATGGGTTAATTGGGTTTGATGGGCTCGTTTAGCGTTGAAGAGGAAACGTTATATAAGCCCAATTCATTTAAATCTCTTTTAAATAAAATTTTATTCTGTTTCATTTTTCATGTTCGATCCAAAAACATTTCCGCGCAAAAATTAAAAATCATCGGGACACGGTCGTGACATGTACGATATTATAACCATTTATTTATCTCCTCTGTTTTAAAATTTTTTGATTATTTATCTGTTGGAAAATTACTAGAACAATTTTGAAAAATGCCTTAATTACTAAAACAACTCTTTGAAAAGAGAGAAATATCATAAAGAGGATAAAAGACTTATAAACTTTTCATTTTCATTT